AAACGAATCAATGTCATCTGAAAACTTTTCCAATCAACAATTACAGGCTAGGCTAGGCATGTCATGTCAGCTTCTAAACAATGTAAATAGGGAAAAATGATGATTGGAACCTGAATTCCACCACATTTCCAGAGCAGGACGTCTTCTTTTCGTCCCAGTGCAGCTTGGAACTTTGGAGGGGTTTGAGTGCTTCGGAGTCTTGCAGTTCTAGAGCCATGGAAGAGGTTTAGCAACTTTCACCGGTTGGAATGAATTTAACAGACTGAGTTCAGTGGGAAAAAACATTCAGCAACTTCCTAATCGTGGAAGGGAACGGATTGACCGTACTTGCTGACCTTTTTGTCCAACTTTGATAGGATTGCGATTGGAATTTCATGCAAGTCCGGCAAACCGGCTCCGCCACTATCGCAGCCGGGAGGCAACATCTTGATTGCTCTTCAGCTCCTTGGAGGCGAACTGCAGCGCCTTGCCATTCTGCCGCACCGCAGCCGTGACGACCTCCTGGTCCTTCTGCAAATGCTCCGGTGCAATCTGCAAGAAGAAGCCGTCTCGCTTCACTTTCGTCAGCCACTGCTGCTTCTCGGCGCTGGCCTCGAATACGGGACCGACCCTCCGCGCCACGGTGACGCTCGTGGCGGGGAGCAAACAGCTCGTGCTATCAAAAGCGGACTAAGGTGAGGGGGACCAGGGGACGAGTGCTGGTTGTGTCAATTGCTCCAAAATGGTGGGATTCCTGCTAAAGGCGTTTTATTTGAAGGCCCAGCACAAACACTCCCCAAAACATGCAACGTAATACAACATGTGTTTGGAACGGAGGTTTCAATCGGGGCCAGGGTTAGCGTCCTTAACGAAAAGCGCTGCAGCACTGCACAGCTCAATCAATTAAGCGCTTCTTCAAATCCGATGGATTCGGTCACAGTCAAAGAAATGTGTCCTGCAGTTCGACCAACAAAGCCATGAAAGGCACAAAAGGTACACTGTAAACAACGAGCTCGGGAGTGGTCTATTTTCTCACTGTTGAATCTGGGAGGTTGGAGGCACACCGCCATGGCGTTGACCTTCTACAGAGACACATCGTACCTGAACCTTCCGGGTGCCTGAAGCTTCTCCTATTTGACGTCAAAACAGATTTCAAAGTGCTGTCCAAATCAGGAGCCAAGGACTTTGGGATGTATTTAGGCAAAACACCTATTAGATGCGTTCGGCATAGCCCGGTAGGACTTGTCTCCAAAGCGGCAGGAGGGTCACTTGCGCATCGCAAAATGGGTCACTTGCGCATCGGAGAGTCACTTACGCATCGACCGCATCGACCCAGCGGGTCACTTGCGCATCGATGGGAAATGATGGTGAGATGTGGGAATTGTCAATGATTTCAATTTGGCCCATGCGGCCACATCATCACATCTTACATCCGGGTGGAGTGGGGTGGGGGGGTGGGGGGGGGATCTAATGGAATGATTGGCCCACGCGGCCACATCATCACATCTTACCTCCGGGTGGGGTGGGGTGGGGTGGGGTGGTAACATGGATCGGCTGACAGACTAGCAAGAGCATGCGTCGCACAAAGTGCACGTTGAGCCACAAATGTTGGCAGTACGCATTGTCTAAGAGTATCATAGAACAGGAACCAAGGTGGAATCCAACAGCATGGAAGAAGAACCTGCAGAGAATCAGGGATCATTCATATACCCGACCTCTTCGATGTAGGTAGATACATATATATAGAGAGAGACATATATATATATATAGACAAAGAAAGACATATATATATATACATATAGGGGTGTCTGAGCTCAAGAAAAAACGACAAGGCCGCAGGTAGTTTCTCTGAGCGCTTCTCAAGGTCTGTCTGTCAACGCGCATTGCGATGCAAGGCGCTAGGCAAGGCACTGTACTGGTCTCGGAGTAGTAGTAGTAGTAGTCGTCGTCGTCGTCGTCGTAGTCGTAGTAGTCGTAGTAGTAGTAGTAGTAGTAGTAGTCGTAGTCGTAGTAGTAGTAGTAGTAGTAGTAGTAGTAGTAGCAGTGGTACTAGACGCGACGCACAAGCGACCCAAAACGCGACGCACAAGCGACCCAAAACGCGCTACACAAGCGACCCCCCGCCCCTCAAAAGCACCGGTACAACATGGTGCAACTTTGAATGACTGGTCAATGGTGCTGAGACACCTCTGAAACTTGATGAATACTGTCGCTACACATGTGTTCCCACCTGATGACGAAACACCACACTGCATGTGTGCTGATCACCTGTACTTGCAGCCTCAAGCATGGATACCAACACATTCTCAGATTCTAACGTGTCGCCTGGGATACACTGGCTCTAACACTAGGAATTTGAGAAGCGGAGCTTCCAGTATCCCAAACAGTTTGAACATTAACATCAATGAATACGTGTGAATATGAAGCCGACACATGAACTCTTGGATCCACACTTCCCCGCAGGATTCTAAGAAGGAACATTTCAAAGTGAACAAGTCATCTGAAACGATGAACATGATCATCTCATCCGGATTTTTCTCTGCACGAATCTTGGGAGGTCAAAGTCACCTCAGTGGTGCCTGGCCTTCAACATGACCGAACATCGCTGTCTAAATCAGTTGAACCCACGTGACCAGTTTGATTCTTTCATGTGCCGAACAGAGATGAAAGATCTCCAAATCTATGCCAGTGATACTTTTCAAGACAAATGCTGCACCACCTGGCACACTGGATTCTTGGATTGGAGAACAAATCGGCAGCCTACGCGGCGTACGCTCAAGTCTAGCAGAATTGTAATGGATGCTCCATGATATCCTTCTCAAGCTTCTGCACGGTGGTGGATTCTTCGCATGGTAAACAAAGCCATCACAGCCGTGCGGCCACCTCTCGGTCGCTGCGCAGGTGCTCCGGTGCATTTTCCAAGCTCTGGCCGTTGCGCTGCACTTTCTCCAGCCACCTCTTCTTCTGTTTGGTGCCGGCCTCACGCAAGGGTGACAACTGGACGGACCCTACACTGGGAGATTCCATGAACTCTGGATGCAACATGTCGATGAATTTGCTTTTGCCTCAAACTGAGTGCAATTGAGTGTGGTGGTTCGCCGTTCACTTCAAGCACCAGCGACTCCCAGTGCACTGTGGTTGGTTTACAATCCCTTTGAGAAGTAAAGTGATTCACCTCTCGGAGTCTGATGTGAGTTAGCGAAGGCAACACCCCTTGCGAGCAAAGGCAATACCCTGGACATGTTTCAAAGACTTGCATCAAACAAATACAACACTTATGAACTACGTCTATCTTATTATAGCTGGAGTCTCTGCCAATTTGGGATTCGGGGTGGCACTCGCAACATCAAGCCTCTGACACAATTGGAGGTCTTGATTATGCGCCTTCTTTTGAGACGCCAGCTTCAAAGCCTCCCAATAATAATTCCAAATCAAGATTTTGATGAGTTCCAAATAGAGAATTTCAAACCTTTCCAAATAAAGGTTTTAGTTGAACAATGTTGAACATCTCCAACTAAAGAATGTTGTTTGATATCCCCAGCCAACGCAGGTTCCGAGATTTCCTGGCATTTCCGACAGGTTTTGGGAGAGTTAAAGCGTAATGATGTAATGGTATGAGGAGATTCTGAAAAAGCTCAGTGACGCGGTGAGGCTTGAAATTGTACAAGGACTTTCGGGTGGGTCCAAATGTCTGATTCCATGAGGTGTTCGTGCTGGATTCTGTTAGGCCACAGGCTGCTGCGAAGGGGTTTCCGGAAGGTTCTGGGAGCTTTTGGAGAAATTCTAAGTGTAAAATAGTGTATGAAGGTTCCGAGCTCGAAAAAGCCAGGTGAAATTAAAAGACAGGTTTTCAGCTCCAAGCTTCAGGTCGGCGCCAAGTGAAGGCTCCAGGTGGAGGCCGAGGTAGGTTCCGGAAACGTTTCACGAGGTTCTAGGAGGGCTGTAAGCTTTGAATGTGCTCCGCAACGTTACTCTAGACCAATCCCTCGCCAAAAAGGAATCCTCCAACTGATGGTTACTGTAGTTCCAGCTGTTGGGATTTCACACGGGTTATTCTGATTCGCATCCCAACGCACTGGTTAAGCAAAAGATGTGAAAATTATGGTTGTGAAACATATAATTAAAATATATTAAAATGCTACATATTTATAAACAGTCAATTGCCAATTAAGCACGTGCTTGGTGCGACTGGAGGGCCGTGGCTCAGATTTCCTTGGAGTCATGTTGGCTGCTCCTCTCTGGCCTGTCTTTCGCGTTGGTTACCCTGAAAGCAATCTGGTTCTCGCACACATTGCCCCATGACCACTGGAGAGTCCTACACAAGAATAATGATAGGTAAAAAAGAAAAATGAGCGGATCACTTTAGTGTTGGGTATGGTGGGGCTTTGAAGCAAGGGTGGATGGTCTCAGCCAGCTGCCGGAGGCACAGTGGCCAGCCGGCCAGCCCATCTTGTCGTGGAGCCACCCAGGCCACTAATGACAATGCATCAACGACCAAACTTGTGGACAGGGAGCGTGTCCCAAACCTTTCGCCGACCACGAACTCCTCCCTCCTTCTGCCTCTCGAAGAAGGCTCAGTTGCAGCGTCTTCTTGGAGCGAAACTCCTGCAAATGCGCGTCGAAGTAGGATTGTCTTGTGATGGCTAACCAGTCGCTTTGCAGGTCCAATGGGCAATTTCTTGCAAGGGTCCAATAGGTGTTTAAGACAGGCTCCAGTCATAGTCCAGGAAAGCAGACACTTTCAATGTCGAACAGTCTTCTATTGCGTAAACGATGATCAATGATCACTGTAAAAATATACAACCTAGCTAGCTCTAGCAAAAAAGCAAAGGTCCGTCAATCGCGTCAATGCCATCCACCCATCATCCACTCACCACTTCCTGTCTTCCTCAAGACTACAACAGCTCAAAACCAGACTGGTTACCCCATGGTTCTTGCTATCAACCCACAACCCTGGTTGACCAAACGACTGACGCCTGGATCATCTCTTCATACCCGGTCACACCGTTGCAGGATATGATCAGATCGCCCGGCTTCACCACCTCCAGGTCGTCAAGGGGTGGAATTCCGCCACCAGTCGTGCTGCATGTTCTTGCACACTGGACACTAGTCTAATAGTAGTCTTGACTTAAACAATGCGTCCCGAAAAGTGTTGACAAATCTTTAGGGGTGGCTGAACATGCACACGAAGAATTGCTGGCCTTTGCTGAGCCACGGAAGTCTATTCTCCTCTACATGGCACTGCTATTGGGTTGATAGTTGTCTATGTGGAGGTAAGACTGCGAACAGTTGCCACTCTGTGTCGCCCCCAGGCGGATGGTCTTCAGGAGCTGCGCCAAGTCACACAATCAAGTTCACCAGTGGCCAAACACTTGGCATTCCACGCCTGCCGCACCGATAAGGGTCGACATGAATTGTCTTGATATGTCACGAGTGATTGATCTTCCCGCTCCTCTTTGTTCACAGGTTGTTTACTGAAAAAGAGTCCAATAGCAAGGCTCTGCACCTTGTCTAACCGGCTACACAAGGATGTCTTCGTCTACCACCAACACCACCACGACGGTCATCCGAACACCTCGAGGAGACCTTCCACCAAGCTCTCCACAAACATGGCCTTCGCGTTTTGAAGTTCAGGTGCGATGACAAGAGTGGAGGGTTTGGTTGCTGGTTGGCTGTCCCACACGCAAAAAGGCATGACCATTGGCATCATTCCTGGGTGGTTACATACGAAGAAGAGGTAAATAGAAGGCAAGTACTAAGGCAAGTTATGATCCAGAATGATTCATTGTTCAAGGATCGAGAACGCAACGATGAGCAACAAGCCTGCAAGAAGCGTTCCCGTGACGAAATGATCCATCGGAGAAGCCTTTATAGGTCGGTAGACTATGATTAGATAGACACCAAGTAGCCCAGTACCACCCACCTGAGCAATACCCAGATGCTTCTCAGTGGATTCACCACTAACAAAACAGTTTGTAAGTAGCTTCACCTCCTTCGTTGATTGTCAATGGCACCAAACACGCAAAAAAATAGACTAAACAAACAACACAAACTCCACTATTTGCACAGGCTACTCGGAGCCACCGTCCTGTTCGGAGCCTGCCAGGAACAAAACTATTTCGATGATCAGCTCAATTGCCTCATCCTGGCCTTCCCATCTTCCGCCGGAGAAGAACCCAGGCCAAGCTTCTCGTCCTCCTTTGTAGTGCCGTGCATTCTGAGCGCTCCGCGGCACGGATGACGTTTAAGATCAATATCAGCTAGGGTTCTCTCTCTCTCTCTCATATCAACCTCACTTCCGCAAAAAAGTATCATCAACCGCATATGCATCCGGGCAGTGACTTGGTGCACGTGTAGCTCGCACAAGAAAGACACAAAGCACATTTCCCTCATGACCTATGATTATTCTCCGTGGATTCTCTGGAGTTCGGCTGGCCGTTGGTCAGCGCAATCTGAATAATGGGGTTGATTCCAAACATGTGACATGTTTTGTCGTTCTTTGATGCCCCATTAGACACCATATAGTTTCGACCCATCCCCGTGTCGACCCAACTGGTGTCGCGCATCTCGGTGTCGCGTGTCCGTCGTCTTGGAGATGGTGATCTCCCAACGCTTCTCGCCTTCTCGGCCGGTGGCCCCCGACGTGCCCGGCCGCGGATCAGTCGGGGATCCGTGGAGTTTTCCTCTCTTGAGGTCAATTCTAGGAACAAGGATTTTATTCAATTCACTGATTCATGCGATGGCATATTTTGTTTGTCACTCCATGGGTGCCTTCTGGTACAGAAACCACCTTCCAAATCATATGTTTTTTCTGTTCACCTTCCCCGGGGGGAGTTGAAATGATTCAAGTCCCAGTCCCAGATCAATCTATCGAAAAAATCAACAATCTGAAGAGTCGGTGGCAAGGAGGGTGAGTAAATGTTGCAAAGCCTGGAGTTTCAAGAGCCATGGACTTGGAATCGTCTGCTCAGAACTCAGACCTTGCAAAAACCATTGATATCGAAAGCGTGTGACACACCGGAAAAAGTGGACCGACTTGCAGAAAGCTTGAGGATCTGCAAATCATCAAACGATTCACCGGGCCGGGCCGAGGCCAGGAACTTCCTGTCTGAAATCTATCATGTTCTCCGTATCTCCCTTCAGGAAGTCTTCAACAACAAAGTCCCAAACCGGGTGCTTCCCTCCAGAAGCTTCACTGCGCCCGATTCTAAGCGACCCAGCCATCTGACTTCTGCGTGTCCATCTCAGATGTCTCACCAACAGATTCCCTAGGCATAGGCAAACACTTTTAGAGGCAGTATGACACAGTGTTCGTCCAAACACTGAGACAGCTTCTGATATCTGGTGCGGACAAGAGCTGGATCTTTTGGGATTCAACTTAGCATCCAATTTCCCAAATTCATGAATTACATCCTTCGATTCTCTTGGAATCACACTGCCATGGGGTGACGCCTTGCCAGGAAAAGGTCCTCCAAGGCCCAGACGCTGGCAAGCTCGGCTGGACCTGGAGAGGCACTGGGATCACAGATTCCCAGGCCAAGCACAGATGGTCTGTTGAATGCTGTTCCATGGTTTGCTCTTTCAATATAGATCCAAACTCTAAAAGAAACGGCAACAGGCCTCTTTGCTTTCTGGTGCTTTCTTAGCTTCTTCTGCCTTTTCACGAGTCCGCAGAGTCTCATCAGCAAGAGTCGCAAGCAAGGATGGTTTACTTGTCAGCTTGGAAGGACACTGGAGATGGTTCCGAATGATCTGTGAATATAGCAACAGCCAATGCACAGTGGCCTTGGGATGCTACACAAGGCCAGATCCGGCCTCTATGTATAGAAAGAACTTCGGAAGCTGTTGCGTGAATTGTGGAGCTTATCAGGAACTTAGACATGGACCACAGGGAGGTTGAGTCAGTAGACAGTTTCTTCCAAATATGGAGCTTGGATCTGTTTTCAATGCCAGGAACGACATAACTCGCTCGGCCTTGTGTTGCGCATCCTTGAGATCTTTCTTCAAAAGCTCAAGCTGCGCCTGGGAACCAAGCCACATGGAGGGAATTAGATCTGCCACAAGGAGATGAAACATTCGGGGGACAATTGAAACGTAAACATCAAACAACAAGGACGAAATTGAGTGAACACAGATCAAAGACACTAGGGTACTCCTCAAACAATAGGCCTCCGGTTTCCTAAAGCAAAGTGATGCGAGGTCAGACTCTCGCGCTCCATTCGTCTCAAACCGGGTTCTCAACTATCAGAGTAGGAAAGACTTCCAAAAGGCAGGACACTTACGTCTGTTGTAGAATGCCTGCAGTCCCTTGTCTCTACATCTATCCATCAGCGAACAAGTTTACATTCTCAGAGTTAAGTGCTTTCAACGTCTGCTGCAGCAGTTTTAGGTGGTACAAGTGAACAACTCTCATAGCATCTGTTTGTCGTGAAAATTCGTGAAAAACTCAGCCGCACAAACTAGACTATACACTGTATGCACATCTAACGAGCGTGAGGCTTTGAAACATGCTCAGTCCTACGGACTGGAAGGATCACTAGTATTTCATGTCTACATTCGCCCTTTTCGCACGGCTTCCCTATGCATACTAAGAGCAAAACAACACGTTGCCACCCACATCATTGAAGAACTAAAAGGGGAATTGGCTAAACCAAAATAGGCAGTGACACGAAAGGCGAGGCTCTCCGGCCTTTTAAGAGAAAACACACCACCAGCATGCCTCCTGGCTTTCCTGAGTCTGCTCCGCATCCTGTTCCGCCCTTCTTGCATAGGCCTTGTCATTTACAGCGATCAACCAGGAAAAACGTGAGGCAGGACTAAACAATGCATGCAAATCACCATGAGCCTATGAATATTAATCTTGTCTCTCAACATGCAACGCTGCTAACTGACACGACCATGTAAGGAAATAACTAGTATTGTCTGGCACATGTCACACAACATATTCGAAACTATTCGCAACACTCCAGCAGCCTCATCTGCGGCCTCTTTTCCAGCAGCTCTTGACTCTGCCTGTCAACAGTGGAACACCAAGCCTTCTCTTAGTAGGCCAAAGGAGCGGGTCCAGACGCCAATTCCGGGCCCGGTTCGGCGAGCTCAGGAAGTCTGACGCGGACCATACCGGAGGTGCCGGAGGTCTGATCGGTAGGTCACCGCTTCCAAGCTGTCTGCAATGCTTGCGATGACGCGGCCTTCTGCTGTGCTTCCCTGAGCTCGGTCTTCAGAAGCTCAATTTGCGCCTGTGGGCGTAATTTGATACGTACACAATCGTGGAGAAGGAAGAGTTGAAAGCACAACGTATGATCAAACTATGTGTACTCCTAGCGAAGAACACTGAGAAACCATGCTGTTACCCAAACTTCAGCAGTGTAAGGTAATGTGATGCCTGATCATGTGCACGACTCGGCTTGCCAGTTAATGAAGAGGTACACATCAGTCCACATGAGGGCTGTAGAATATCAAATCTGAAGGGTTAGAAGCACGGTTTGACGCTTTCAATCTCAATTTTGTTCGTCCTCCGCACAGAAAGGATATTTAAGTATGAAGTCATTCTCAAAGCTCGAGAAAACACAGCTTTTACACACCATGTATTTGTTGGACACATGGACACACCATGACACACCTGCCAATGCCCGGTGCACCAGCATCCCAGGCCACTAGATCGGTCCACTCGAAAGTGCCTGGGACGCAGCTTCTTTGGCTTTGGCCTGTAGAGGATGGACATGGGACGAAGCCGCGAAGACGAGGCTCTCAGACTGTTGGAGTGAGAAAAACGTCATGAATATACCAAACTGACACACTGGGCAGCTGAAACATCATGGAATCATGGAACAATCAAGATATGTATGTCAGGATGCTGATTCGGCCTCTTGTTCTTTGTCTTCCAACTGCTTCCTCAGCTCGTTCTTCTCTGCCTGCAAGGAGAAAGCAAACTGACTGTGCCGTGCGTGCTATTGCTGTACAAGAAGCTGGAATCGCACAGAGCAGCAACACAAGAACATTCAGGGAACGTGACGGACCGGCAAAGTTGGCAAAGTAATCCCTTTGCCATCCTTGTTCTTTTCACAAAAAGGCATGCAGGCCTGACTGAGCTCCTGCTGCAGTTGCTCGTTCTACATAATGAATATAGGAAACTGACACACTGGGCAGCTGAGAAAAGAAACACCAGCCAGCCTCCTCGGTTTCGTGAGCCTTCTTCGCATCCTCTGCGGCCCTTCTCGCAAAGGCCTCATCTTCTGCCAACCAAGGAGACGTGAGGCACTACGCCACGCCAACGCATCAGCCACATGAGCTGATGAATCTTTGCTCAACACATACGGCTGCTAAAGGCTAGGACCTTGTGTAGTGTTGAAAGAAGTAAGCCGTAAGCCATTCTTGCAGATTCCATGCAAGTCTTCGTACTCACCATTCAAAACACGTTCAACAGTTTCAGGGCTCCAGCAGCCTCATCTGTGGCCTCCTTTTCAGCATCTCTTAACTTTGCCTGTCAAGATTGAAGCACCAAGCCCTATATATAAATATATACTGTGAAGAAGGCGAGGTGAAGGAGAGTAGTTCGGAATTCCAAGGGCCAAAGAGCCTGCACATGTCGCAGAAACCAGTGCACCATTGCCTTGACCCCTTAAGGCCTGAAGCCTTGAAAGAGGCCAACTGAAGTAGTCCTCTATGTGAAAGAATCTCGGAAGCTGATGAGCTAAATACGGAATTCATCAGGACCTCTGATATGCAGGTCTGATTGGTTGATTCGGAAGATGATCGCTAGCAAATATGGAGCTTGAAGCTGTCTGCAATGCTTGCGAACACAAGTGACCTGGCCTTCTGCTGCGCTTCCCTGAGCTCAGTCTTCAAAAGGTCAAGCTGTGCCTGTGGAACCAAGCAACATGAAGGGTTATAGATCTGCCACAGTCAGATGCAATATTCCGGGAACTGTGAAACATATCAAAGCACAAGACAAGGAACAACTTGGACGGAATACCCTGCGCGGGGGACAGTAGAAGACTTGCTGCACGAATAAACAAAGCCCTAGAATACTTTACAGACCCTTGTCTGTCAATCAAGACTCTCACTCAAGTGCTGCATCTGCTGCATCAGCTAGTACCCGCATAGAACTCATCTGTTTGTCTTGAAGATTCCATCACGAGTCCAGCTGAAAAGCACAAGAAATGAAGGCCAAAACCCACCGCAAATCTGTGTTTGGCGCTCTCGTGCTTTGCGACACACACAGGAAGGAGACGCGCCGTTTATTCACCAAATGCTCCACACAGCTTTGCAACACTCGGGGCAACACAAACATCCGAAAAAAATAGCTGGAACGTGCCTGGGAAGCTGCTTCCCTGTCCTTGGCCTGTAGAGGCAACACACAAACGACTATCAGAGTTGAAATGAGGCGCTCACAGAAAGAGACACTTGGGCGCTAAAGGTTTCTAGGATTGGGGGCCGAATGCTGGTTCAGCCTCTTGTTGGCTATCTTCCAGCTGCTTCTTCAGCTGGTCCTTCTCTGCCTGTGAGGAGCAAGCAATGTGACTGTGACATACTACTGCCGCACAAGAAGCTGGAATTGCAGAGGGGAAACTTCCTCGATGAACTTACACAGGCAATAACATACTTAAGATGTTCATCTTGTCATAGAAGTGAATAGATCGGCCAAGAGAGTTCGACGACACAAACGACACGGCTGCCGTGCACGGCTGACTCAGTTTTCCAGATGTTCTTGGGTTTTCGGACCCGGCACATACAACGCTGTTCACAGTCAAAACATGACTCCAACTGGCAAATCGCTGGTTCAAGAAGCTTGGCGATGCATGAGCATACACACAGTGCCCTGCAAAAATCGGGTACAGAGGATGGAATGCATTGCCCTTCACTCAATATTGATGTTGTCTGGTGTCTTCAGATTGCCTGAATCCCAAGGTCTAGCTCCTGCGAATCAGCCAACCCAAGTTGCCTCTTGCAGTTGATAACGGAATTGTGAAGTCCTTGAAAGCACTTCAGCAAACCATTGAAATCTGTACCCATCAACCAAGCCAAAGCCAGCCAACCACTGGCCTGCAGAGCTTGCTCGCTCTTTTTCATTTCGAGCTCTTTCCTTTCAGCCTTTGCATCAGTAGAAAGAAAGAAAGAAAAAATAGAGAAAGCAGCAAACCAAAGCCAATCAAACCGCCCAACCGACCGACCGACTGACTAACCCACCAACCAACCAACCAACCAACCAACCAGCCAGCCAGCCAGCCAGCCAGCCACCAACCAGCCAACCAACCAGCCAAGCAACCAACCAAGCGACCAAACAAAAACACTAAGTACACCCCGCCCAGGTCCCACTCATCTGCAAATGTTGCAATCCGATGCAGGCATGACACAGGCCTGTCGAAGCTCCTGCTGCCGTTGCTCATTGTTCATGGTGATCGCGTGCAGTTTTTCCTTTCCCAGACTCACCACAGAGCATGCGGCAACTAGAACTGAGCTGAATCTGAACAACTTATCTTTATCAACCATTGCTTGATACCGATTCAGCTGCCTTTTCACTTTCACCAAAATATGTGCCTGCAAGGCTGATGCCAACTTCACCTTCTCCTCTGCCTTGACATGCGCCACACAAACGATGTGGAGAGAAGGAACGGGTGCTGTCCAACTAGGGGTTTCAAGTTATCCGTGCTCTTGCGATGTTAGTTTCCACTGGAAACTCAAGGCACCCTATCCCTGAACTTCACTGCACCTTATATGTTCGATCCGTGGACATTGCCCACCACATGTGGGACTTGGCATGGTTGACCAGTGCCAAGTGCTGATGTAGCAAAAGCAACTGGAGTGACCGCCCTCAGTTTTGGGGGTTGCTGCTTTGTTTTGAGACCGGGCTTAATCTGATGATTTGTCAGGGCATGGCAAATTCGTGTTGCGTCTTCCTGACAAACTGTGCCTGGATAAACTATCTAAATGGCACCACTGGAACTATGCTGCGCTATCAAACCCCATTGGGGCAATCCTCCAACCACATATAGACTTGCCCTAATGCAAAGCAAAGATATATTGGGACTTGCTCGAGGCACTTCTTGCTGATACTGTACCACCTTATTCACTGAGTTTAAAAACAGGATCTCTTGGTGCTTGCAAAGGCAGGATAAATGAAGTTGGCGTGTGCGAAAGCGTCACATGCCCAAAGAGTTGTGAAACTCCAACATGTACCGGATTCAATATGGAGAGAGTAGTACCTTCCCTACACGGTGGGCTCAACAGCAAAGCCCTGCAGCTAGTGCAAGTCAACGTGGGACAAGTGTGCACAACAAGGCAATGGCAAATAAATGTTCAAACGTGAAATAGACATGCTACACCAACCGAAGTGGCATATTGCGAGGTGTTTTGTCTAACCGCCTAACCTGTCCTGCTTTGGGTATTACAAGAGCGAGCGAGCGCCGGAGGAAGAGCCTCCTGCGCCAATTCCTTCAGCTTGTTCTCGCGCAGGTCATGGTCCGCCTTGCAGAACTATGTAGGAGTGGTGCGCAAAGGTACCCCACAGGCTTCCCAGTTGATAGCAGGGAGGCGTCGCAGTTCCGGCTAGCAAAATATTCCCGTGAAGATTGACAACAAAGGAACCTGTTCGCTACGGGGTAAGATTCCAGTGCTACAAACAAACAAGATAGAAAGGTCGGGCATGGTGGTACTGATTACTGTACCATCTGTTTTTATCACATGTACATGCATGTCCGTTTTGGATACGTGTTCCCCAAATCGCCACAGGAGAAAGTGGTCGTCCCGCTCTTTTTGAGTCCAGGCTGGAAAAGCACCATGAGTTTCTTTGTCGTACGCCCTACACCAAGTTGTCAAGCTTGGGATGAGTGAAATGACGTGGTCTAGAAGTTCTTGGACACATGGAGACACCGGTCAGCACCACGGCACCGCAAACATCTCCAAAAGGAAAGTGCCTGGGAAGCTGCTTCCTTGTTGTTCACCTGTGGAGGAGGCACAAACACGAACAACAAACGAAATGCAAGGCTCACTTGGGAGCCAAATCATTGCAAACATCTATGTCTTCGGTTTTCAGCATTGGAATGTGTTCTTGGGGGCCAGAATCTGGTTCAGCCTCTTGTTCTCTATCTTCCAACTGCTTCTTCAGCTGCTCCTTCTCTGCCTGTGAGGAGCAAGCAATGTGACTGTGCCATGCAAAGGACATCGTCAACAATCAAACTCAAACATTGTCGGAACATACACGAGGCATTAATGCTTCAGACATGTTCACCTTGTCACAGAAGTAAGTCGCTCAGCCAAGAGAGTTCTACACATGATGCAGCTTCAGGTCAGCCCAAGGCACTTTCCCACGCTAAGTCAGCGCAAGTGGGAGAATCCGTTGGTTGTAGCAGCTGCAACATGCATGAGCATAGAACCAACCACCCTCGACAACAGGCAAACCACCGCACGAATGCTCTCGCAATTGCACGGCTGCTCAACATGATGGTGTCTATCTTCAGTCTGCCACACCTTCAGGTCACTTGATAGGTCACTCCCCAGTGGACCACCCCAAGTTGAACCTTCCAACTACCGATCTCCAAACATTTCTACAGACCGCTTCATGCCACCCCTCTCGGTTTGCCTCGCCAAGTGGCCCAGCCTGTTGTAGCTCCCGCTGCAACTGTTCATTGTTCACCGTGATGACGCGCAACTTTTCCTTTCCCAGACTAACTCACACCACCAAATTTGATCTCAATCAACATGTTCCCCTGTATGTCAACAGTGGCTGAGACTATATGACTGTTTGATGTCCCAGCGACTACACCACGTTATTCTCTAAAAGAACGACACCAATGTTACCGTTTCCTGGTGGAAATAGGCCGTCAAAGCGATGGTGGGCAATGGAACACGTACTTTGCAACCGCACTCCCTACTCGTGATCAGGGAATTATGGTACGTAACCGGGATTTGTTCTATGTAGCAATGGAACACTCCGGGCAAGCAAATGTCAGAGTAAATTGGGACAGGCTATAAGGCGCTCCTTGTTGCAGATATGGGACAAATACATGGAACAAATTTGAGGTTTCCAGGGATTGTAAGCCCACAGGGAAGCTAGTGAGATCCGTCAAAACATGTCCGTAGAGTCATCACAGACTAAGACTACATAAGCCGTTTATACTTTCACCATGTGTCACATGCGAGTAAGGTTCCAAAGCAATATACCCACCGGATCATCACCTAAGACAAGCTGGAGACTCCGTAGGTCTTGCATGCCCACTTACTGCACTCTGCCATCTTCTATGAATGACCAGAAATTGCCTCCACACGTTCATGAAACCTTCAGGCTTGCGCAAGGACGAAAGGGGCGGCTCACCGAGGACGAACCAAAGGAACCAGTCCTTGCTATGAAGCAGTGTCCAATGAGCAACAAAAAGCACTCTCAAGAAAGGCGAGCCATACAACACCATGGCATTTCGCTGTCCGTCAGTCACAATACCAGTAACACCTCATTGTTGGGGGATCAATCGCCAGCCGACTAGCTGCTTAGCTGAGAAATTGTCACAAGTCATCTACCAATGCGACACTGCCAACGGATGACAGCCCAGCAGCCTGCAATGATTCAAGAGTGGCAACACTTTTCTTTTGCTGCTCTTTCGCCTTCCAAACTCAAGTCAACAAGTGCCCACGCGGTGCGGAGCATGGTCAGGGCTTGGGGGAGTGACCGCGTCCTTCAATGTCAGCAAGTATCAATTTCTGTCCTGACGACATCTGGCTCTGTCACATGTCAACATTATTCAGTCTCCAGAAAGTCCCTGTGAAAAAGTCTACACCGTGCAGGACTTATGATGGACATGCTTGGCAAAAGCTTGAACAAGCAAATGAACCAAACAAGCAAACAAACAAACACGGCGCTTGGTCTTGAGCAGCCTCTGACACACATTCGGTGGCCTCCATGGCAGTTGCCTCTAATTCATTCTGCAAACTGTGCTTTTCGGCCTGTGCAATCAAACGATTGGGTGTGCGTCAAAATGATGACAAACTCTATAATGCGTCGCTGTTTGATACAGTTCTTGGGAATTCATTGTTGGCAACATGAACTCCTTGCAACAATCGAACTGACCTACAGAGACCTTTATCCCTTGACGAGCACGAGTCTCCTCGACACATCTGGCCACCAGCCTGCCACAACCTTTCTTTCTCATTGGCCTTCGCAGCAAACAAAAAGGGAATCAATCACATAGTGATCCCCAAATAGATAGAAACGGTTTCCAATACATTTTAGTGGTGGTCTAAGTACAGTTCTATCTATATATTTGGGGGTCTCTATAAGGAAAACCAAATATAGACCAAACACGGCCACAGCGTCGTGTTGCGGTCAAATGAACCAGGTTAACAATGTCAAGCTGTGTTCCACAGTACGATGTTTTCCTCATCAACACCTTCTCTGTCTGTCGTCCGACAAAAGTAAAGAAGAAACAGTGTAGGGTCAGAAAGGGATGGGTGTCAACAAACACAGTACGTGTTCTTCACAGGCGCTTTTTGGACCCAACTGTACTAACTTGGTAATTAAGCAGTTGGAGATCTTGACGACGCATCATTCATTTCATGTCCCATCGGACGAGCCTGGCGCAAGGCTTCCAGCAATTTAGCGTACTCTGTGGACATGGTCTCCAGTTTCTCCTCGCGCATGTGGGCAGATGCAAGGCTGTGCAGTCAACAAAACGAATCCATGACATGCGAAACTCAAGGGGCATAAAGGAGGGATACAGCTGGCTTCCCAACATCAAATCACCATGCAATCTACCCACGCACCCCCACGCACCCACCCACCAACATCACAACGACCGCCATAGCAATCGCCAAAGTCACCAATGTCACCAATGTTACACGACGTCTACGGCCGAGTGACCTTTCGGTTGACCAATCGTCTTGATCAGAAGGCTGAGTGACTGAAGAAAGTGTTGAACTCTCAGAATGTGACTCATTCACCTGGTTCACGACTGGGAACGAGCCTGTCTTGCCCCCAACTGCCTCCATAGCTTTCTCATTCTCTTTCAAAGCGGCCAAACCCTCCTTGCACAGACGACACAGAGTGGATGTCCTAAGGCATCCAAATGAAGTCCTTTTTAAAATTTGATCGTCAAAAGGGCACAATCTGAAAAGGTTTATTTTACTTTTGCACCTCTTGCCTGCGACACAGGGCCCACATTCAGCTTTCTAGCATGTACTTCTTTGGGGATTTGTGATGTAAATGACAAGCTTGTTCTTCACTGTGCAGTCATCCCCACATCAGCTGAACAAACAACTTCATGCCCCGACACCAAGAACCCTGTCACTGGGCCTCCTGCGAACCTCAGTTCGCTGCTCTTCTTCTGCTTAGAATTATGGGATCACCTTGACCGTCAATCCGCACAGAAATCCTAGAAGCGAATGCCAAATCCGCACCGAAGGCACACAAAAACCCACAGACGGAACCAATCCACCTGGATCCTGGGAAGCAACCCACTTTCGGCCTCAGACGAGCGGACCAAACGAGCATGACACCCCCGGACGTCGTGGCGTTGGGGTGGTTGTCCGCCCCAATTCTTAAAGCAGCCCCAAATACCTTGGGATAACTATTCAAAGATCATCGAAACGTATCAAAACCTTTCCCAACAACCATATACAGTATGTGTCTTTCCGACACGCTTGGGGGGAGCGCTTCTGAACTGGACCTGATGAGGGTGGGACAGTCTCAGGATGCGTTCAGTCCAGTCATAGCTCTTGTTTACGGTGTCATGGAAGCGCGGATCGGACGAACGGAACTGTAGGTGGCGAGGCAGGGAGACTATGAGGCAGGGCTGAGTGAAGCGCTTCCTGAATACTCTTGCTGACGGCCGTTCCGAGTGAAGGGTGGAGCTGGAGAGTACATCGCGCACTAGCTGCATCTCACTGCTTGTTGAAGCAGTGAATTCATATTCATGTATTCATGTAGACTTATGAGGTCACTTTCTGGCAAGCATGCTACAAGTACCATGCGTGTCTCATACAAATAGTTACGAAGGTGAAAGCAGCCTGCACTTTGCCATACTGAAGAAAGGCGATCCCTTGCTTGGGGTGTGTACCGGTGCGTGGCCTTCGTTTGAACGCTCGCACAGGCACGACCAATTAGTCCGCGGTCCGCAGTTGCGTGTACAACGAGGGGTCTTGGGCGGTCAGTCTTGACAACTTGGGGTCTGTCCGAAATTCGGACGTCTCGGGGGCAGCCATCGAGCACGGTAGACATTGGAGGATAGACATTGGGGTAGACATTCCAGACTTACAGCCGAAGTAAGTAGACACGGGAGCAGGCCATCGGCTTGCGGCTCTACTCATTGATTTATCATGCTCTGCACAGGGCGATCGTGTTTCTTTTATAGTCTTGTCAACAATGGCTTGGGTTCTCTTGCAAAGACTTCAAGCATTCAGTTCCTTGCTCCTCAGCAACTTCTTTGAAACAATCGACATGTGCAAGAAGAGTCGACATGAGCAAGTTGTGCCCAAACTTAGAGGCTGGCTGTGTGGGCTGCTATTCTTCGACTTCCAACGTCCTCTGGAGGTTCTTCTCCAGATCGGGACTCATGCTCACCAGGTCTTCTGGTTGCAATAGTCCGAACCTCAGAAAGTGTGCTCTCCACATGTTCAGAGCGAGAAATGAAATCCACGTGTTCAGAAGGGGTTTCCGTTGCAAAAGTTTGGGAGAACATAGGCCATCTTAGGCCATCTCCTTGGAAGGGTGGTGCTATTTGGCGCGCCGGGACGGTCGAACTTGGGCAGCTACGGCTGCTTCTAGCCTCCACAAGAAAGCTTACCCATAGAACTTCAAGGTGAGATATGTGGGATCCATGGAGAACCCAGAGCATGCATGATCAGCTCGTGGCAAACTGTGACCTCAGACATTAAAAAAGACAAAACAGTGTCCATCTAGTTTGACAAAGCTGATGGTAGTGACAAAGGAGATAAAGGATACGTAAACTGTTAAAAAGAACGCTAGGATGTTCAAGCATGGTCCAACGACACAGTGTACATAGAGGAACATTTACCCTATGTGGCATGGCTCAAGAACGCTCATGCCAAATGAAGAAGTCAAGCAAGTCAACTGCTGATCTCTGAGCTTAAAGTGCAAGCCAAGGATCTGCCACGGGGTATGATATGACCTTGAGATGAAGAAAACTGCAAGTACTCAGAACAATGAGTACTGCGGAACTCTGGTTTGCCCTGACTGCCACTCTGGTTTGCTCCTGATCTTTCCTCAAGAGTCAAGCTCTGATGACTAGCTGACTAGCTCTGTAGTACACCCAGTGCTGTCACCTGGCACGTCTCCTTTCGCGCACGAACACGCTCGATGCGTACGTCGTCTGGGCGTCCCTGCGTTGGGGTCGCAGGGGCTCTGAGTCGCCATTCGCGGTGGCCCCAGATCGAGGTTCCTCACAAGAAGGAGGCATTATTTGGTTGAGATGGTCGCGGAAGACTCGGTGAACTTGAGGCATATATAAGTTGAACTTGTTCAGAACCGCTTTTAAGACTTAAAACCCTTCACAAGCTTGGACCTCATCAGAAGCAACCGAAAGGAACTCACAATTCCCCCCCGCGCAAAACGCTTCATCTTCTGCTCAACGTGCCTTCCGAAGGGCAGCTGCGGCTGCGCCCGAGGCGCCCAAGCAGCGCCTCCGTGGCCGCCCAGTCGTGGGGACGGCTCCTGCGCCGGTTCTCGAAGCCTCCGCGGCGAGAGGCATGGCCTCGAACCAACGAGGCGCGAGGCGCGAGGGTGGGTCTTTCAGCAAGCGAACAAGTTCGCTTACTGGCTGAGTGGTGGCGGATTTCTGCTGAAGTTGACATGCAGAGATGACGTGTTGTGGCTCTAATTCTTGCTTTGACCATAGATCCTGGCGTGCTGGACGACTGGAACTCTAGCTCGTTTTCCTGCAACTACCTTTTTTTGTCGTCCTTTTGCTTTGCAGTTCTAAGCTTTCCACTGACCCAAGTTGAGGGTCGATTGCAATCCCGAGGTTGGAGACCTGGCAACTTTTGTTGCAAACCAAAGCTGCAAGCCTGGCTCAAGAGCATTCAAGAGCCATAGAAGCAGGTCTTAATGTTGTTCTTTTCTCAACTGATGTCTGAAGCCATACCCACCAGTGCTGGCTTCAATTGCAAAAAGGGGGTTTGATCTCAGCGCCACACGGCCGGGAAGAGCGGAGGCGCTGCCACGCTGCCCTGATTTCATCAGGCTCCATGGTACGCACGGCATGAAATCTCAGATGGTGAAACTGCGCGGGTAGGCCGGGAAGAAGACTTCCACCCTGTGATGGCAGCTTGCAGGTTGTACGAGGAACGGCAAAAACAACAGAGAAAGTCCCAAGAAGGTCGACTGAAGTGTAAAATCCCTTAAAGCTGGATGGCAACATCTGCACCTAAAAGCCACATGCAGGTTTGTGAACTCTCAAAAAGGGCTCGACAATGCTGAAAATACTTGCAACTTCCATGTATCCTCATTTGCCTGTTTACAGTTATTGTTTGGCCTTGTTTCATTGCAAGATGTAGACGGCCACTCCTGAGAGTTCTGATGCTGGCCCCACACGGATAGATATGCACAATCACTGGTCTCACTAGTTGTTGCACACTTGTTTCCTTAATATCTTGTGGTTTCTGGCACGTTCAGGCATGTTCATACAGTTGATGATGTCTGGAATGGCATCCACCCGCACAAGAAAGGGCCAGTCATAGTGGGATTCCCAACTCGTACGCAGTGAGATCTGGTCATGGAAGTGAAGGACTTCTGGGCGAACAATCCCAATGTGCTGAAGTTGTTAATTAAGTTCAATTCTAATTAATTCTATATATGTTGTTTCTACTAGCTTCTTGTTACTACTAGTAAGGCACTTGTTACTAGAAGCGATGCACTTGTTCCTATAGTAGCTTTCTCAAGTGTTGCGAATTTGGTTGATTCTGTTGCAAATATGTTTCGACATAAGAGTAATTTCAGAGGTCTGGCTTTCAGAGGTCACCGTTCGATGGCTTCTTTCTTGCGGATGGTCACCCAGCCCTTCGATCTTCCAGGCTTGAGACATATTGTGGTATGCATCGCTATCGATGACTGCAGAGTGAGGTCTCAGGCAGCTTCGACAGGACGTTTCACTCCAACTCGCAATGGCAACCGCCACAATTGTTCCCAAACCAACACCGAACGGATATCGCGTGACTGTCCAACTGCGACCTTCAACTGTCCAACTGTGACCTCTGTGACCTTCAACCGCCTCGGTTTGGCGTGCTATCAGTCGTGTCCGTCCGTATGTCCCTAAGGCCAGGTCTGTGCCCTTCATCCAGCCTGGGACGATGCGGAGACCACTCTGCAAAGCATCTGAAAACAGAGACACCGCGCGGAGGAGTGCCCCCAAGACCCTGCGGGCTGGTAATGGTAGATGCATATCTGTGACATCAACGAGTCAGTCGATGTCGTTGCTTCGAAGATTGAGTGTCCCAACGGCCGCCAGATCACTCCGCTGCCGCCAAAGCAAGGCCCTGCCAGCTGATCAAATCTCCCAGTTTGTTCAGATGATGTCTGTCTTTCATGAGTCTGGAAGCATTGATCCTTTCAACTGTCTTGATATTTCTTGCTTGCTTCTTACCAATGAAAACACAGACAGTCTCATCGGCGTGTCCTTGTTCAAATAAAATCTGTGGTCTTCCATGGCAGGCGGATGCGATGGTCTGCGAAAAGCATGGGTTTCAGGGTCATCAACTGCCATGTTCCAATGCTCTCATCTCCAAATCGCAGTGCTGAACATTCCTGAATTGGCTCAAAGCGGTAAGCTGCTTTCGGTTCTTTTTCAGCGATATGGTTCTGTGACGGATGGCTGATCCGACCCCGGTCGGAGGTGAACCGGTCTGGAAGAGATGAACGGCGTCACAAGCTTCAAGTCAAAACTGCTGCTCAAAGCTTGGGCTCTAAAGAAAATATCCCATCCGGTGGTAGTAATTCATGGTCCCAAATGGTCCAAAGCTTATATATCTAGTCCTAAGAGATGGTTGCTTCAAAGGAGTTCTTGAAATGTTGGGCTCTTGGGCAAAAGCCCGAAGAGCGACCAATGCTGAACATTGCAACACTGTGCATTGCCCTCATGGCCATCCCTTGATCAAATTGTCTGATCTGCAAGCCTATGACTCCCAAGCTCAACACCTTGAATATCAATCGTGGTACTATGTCGTACTGTTGAAGGAATTCCACGCGTAAATGCCAACCTGATGACATCTGCTGACTCCAAATGGGCACTCGAAACACCTTCGTTAGGAGAGCAACAGGATTTTTCACCATGGCCCTTACAGAAGTGAACTCTTCCCACACATCCCAGCCAGCCACATCCCAGCCAAACGCTCTTTCATCCTCTGACTGATCAGACGCCTCACAGGCCGCGTGCACGGCAGTTGAGGCAGGCCGTTGATGGTCTTGGACTCCAAGAGGTGGACCGAAGCTCAAGTGGCTGACGGTCCGAGGAGGGACACCGGACACCAAGGACGCGACGAACGGGGCTCCTGGCCTTACTACGAACGGAACAAGAAGCTACTAGGCACTGGACACCCCCAAAAAGAGCCCGACCGGCAGAACTCCAAAAGCCCGCTGCCTGCGGAGTTACCGACATCATCATGTGTCAAACTTGGTGAGTTGCCGACATCGCGGACTTGAACCGGCAAGTTCCTTTAACCGGCTGTGGTACTTCTTGATGTAGTAGTGACAAACACTACTAGTTTCTGACGCACCAGGGCTTCTTCAGGTCATGATCACCCAGATGACACTTGTAGCTTAAAGATTACAAAGAAACAAGTTCATCATGGGTTCAGTTTATAGTAGTGCCCACAATCTGCACATCGCACAGGCAACCCCCAGACCCCCAGAATGGGTTCCATTTAGTTGCTGATCTCTTTCGATATGCTGCAGTGTAATGAACAGGGTTTAACAACACAACGGCACCAATGGACAGCTTCCTGAGCGAACGTCCCAAATTCTTACAGGTGTTCTTAGCTCGAAGGGGTTGTCACAAGAGATGTGCTGTGCATTTTGTGATAGTTTGTTGTTCCTAGTAGCTTCTTGCTACTACTAGTAAGGCACTTGTTACTAGTAGCGATGCACTTGTTACTAATGAATCACCTACAACATTCTAACACGGTTCGAGTCGAGATGTGTTTTCTATTCTGTGTCGTCGCAATGCACAACCATCCATGTAGGACCAAAACGTGTTTCTTTTTCAGAATGTTTCTGGATGTTTCAGGGTTAGGTTAATTAATTGTATCCACCTTAGTCAAACATGGCATATGCCCACCAAAACTGAACCCCAAAAGCGTGGTCTGACGAAACTCCCACGGTCCCCCGGGTCTGAGTCTGAACGGGTTCTACATCCGACCCTGCGAGGCTGGTTGATGACCGTCTTCCCGTCTTCGAGCCTCACTCAGCTCCAGCAAGTCCTCACAATCGCCAGAGAAGATCGAATTGAATCCAGTTCGTCGTCTCAAAAAGTTCCGTTTCATGCTGAGACAAACCAGGCCACTTGCCAATCCAAGGTGGACCATGCAACCATGTGTGTGTAGTGCACCCGTACCGGAAACCTCAGAAAACTATACTATCGAGGTCAAGGAGCCAGAATTCAACATCAGCATCTAAAAGCAGTTGGCATGTTCGCACTAAAAAACTGAAAAACACTTGTGTGTCTCCATTGCTTTTGACGTTGGACCCAATTTGCACACAAATTAATCATTAGGTTGATTGGCCGACAAAATCCAGGTGAATGAAGGGGGCATGAGAGGGCAAGGGATGAAACACACGGAGGGAATGAAGGGGACACAAAGGGGCAACGGATGAAACCCAAAATGAAGGGGGCACAATGGGGCAATGGATGAAACATGAAGGGGGCACGAGGGGAAATGGATAAAACATGAAGCGGGCACGAGGGGGCAATGGATGAAACGTGAAGGGGGCACGAGGGGGCAATGGGTAAGACATGAAGGGGACACGAGGGGGGAATGGATGAAACATGAAGGGGGGACGAAAGGCAA